ATCTGGCCAATCCAATCCTTCTACCCACACCCTTCTACTCACAAGCCTTCTTAGAATAGATTTGAAGTGCTCCACACAGGCCCCGACTATCTCCTCTTGTTGTATTAACTCAACTCCATCTACTACCAATTTGGAGATAAAGTTCTTCCTTCTCCTGCCATTTGCAAAAGAGTGGAAATGCCTAGTGTTTCCGTCTCCCTCTTGCAACCATTTACACCGAGATTTTTGCCTCCCGGCTAATTTCCTCCTTGTGCAGGCAGTCCTCTAACTGTCTTCTCAAATCTCTCCTGAGTTCATTGTCTTCCTCTCCAAATTCTCCCCTTTCTCCTTTAGAGTCAAGGCTTTCAATCTTATCCATCAGATCTCCCTTTCTTTCTTCTATTCTCCCAAACTCCACCAAATTCCACTCCTTGATTTTTGCTTTCAAGAATTGTAGTTTCTTATGGAATGTCATCCCTTCCCATTCCACCAATGGGTTACACTCATACCACCACACCCTCACTTTGTTAGAAAACCCTGGATGAAGTAACCACATATTTTCAAATCTAAAGGGGGTAGGACCTCCACACCTTCTTTCCTCCTTACATAACACTATGGGCCAATGATCCGAGGTCACCCTTGGGAGAGCTCTAGAAGCCAAGCTTCCCCAATGTTCTTCCCAATCCAAAGAGAACAGGAATCTATCCAGCTTAGAGCAAATGGGTCTAGATTGGAGATTTGACCATGTAAATGTCTTATGGGCTAGGGGAATCTCTTTAAGCTCAAAGGCATCCACAAAACTGTTAAACTTCCTCATGGTTTTTGTCACCCTCTGATCAACCTTATTGGATTCCTCCGAGAATCTGATCACATTGAAATCCCCGCCCATGCACCAGGGCCCATCCCACAACCCTCTAACATCCGCCAATTCCTCCCACAACTCCTTTCTCTCTCTGTAGTCATTCGGTCCGTATACATTTGTGAACACCCACATATAATCATCCTCTCGCTGCTTAAACTTCATGGAAACCGAGTACTTTCCGATCAACTCCTCCAAACCTTCAACCACATCCCTCTTCCACATTGTTACAATCCCCCCGGAAGCACCCCACGAGGGAGTAGCCACCCAACTAATCCCCTTGGCTTTCCATACACTCCTTGCCCATTTGTTATTAAACTCCATTCTCTTAAA